CTTTAGAGATGATGCTGACATCTTTGTAAACATCAGTGAAGGGGTCAAATAAGAGTGAAGCCTCCAAAGAGAGAAGAAGTCCAGGCCACTGCTCTGCAGATGTGATTGCATGCAAATTTCATGGATAGCTTGTAAGAATGCAAATTCTAACTCAGAAAGTCTAGCAAGGGGTCAGAGGCCCTGCATTCAAGCACAAAGTGCTAATAGAAGATGGAAGGGCTTCATTCTATAAGGAAACACTACTTCTTGTAAGATCTCAGGAATGGGAAGGAGTTACATTAACAAGACAGATATTTAGGGAACAGAAGAGGGATCATTATTCTATGGATTGTGTAATATAAATAGACAAGTTAATTAATTAAGGAAGGGGGTCACCACAATCCTGCCAAGATTGAAGATGACGGGTATGGAGGGTGAAACGAGTAAGGAAAGGAAAAGGTTTGCAATAGCTACAAAGAATGAAAAAATAAGATGGGGCTGAACTGCGTTCTAACATCAAGAGCAAATTTGGGTAGATAGGATTTCTTTGAGCCATATCACACAACCACAAAAACAAGAGGATGGGAAGCTTCTTCCCTTAAAAACAACACACACCATCATCCCCTTGCTGCAGACACACACACACACACACACACATCATCCCCTCGCTGCAGACACACACACACACACACACCCCACACACACACAGTGAGGCAGGGGGATGCAGTGCCAGAAATTAGGTACTCCTGTAGAATTTTATGTTTTCAGAGACACATGGCAGCGAAAATTTGCAGCTGGAGATCAAGATGCATGGATCAGTAAGACAAGAGGACTATTTTCTTGTGTGTGTAGTTTCTAGGGCTCCTGAAATGAAACTACAAATACCATTTCCTCCCGGTTTCACAGACGTGGTTTTAGATGACAGTACATCATGGCAACAGGCTGGACTTGACTCCCTTTCCTCTTAAGGGAAGGTTAGAGGAGCAAGGATTTAAAATGCATTTTATTATTCTCAAGCATTTTATCTCTCATTGCAGGCTTTTTGGCAGGTAGTTAAGACTCCATTCAAATCATGGTAAAATAAAGAGGGCTCGTGTGCTCACTGACTATGTAGTGTTCAGGCTTCTGAATTTAGTCTGGTGTCAATTTCTAATAAAATGAGCAAGAATATGGTGGTGACTGAACCATGGGCTCAAAAGAATTCAGAAATAGCAGTTGTTCCATCCCTACGGCATGCGATGTGTAATTCTGAGTGGGGGTGGGCTTGGGGGGGGGATTTATCCAGACAAACAGATGTGTTGAAGGTGTAAAAAAATTCTATGGTCATTTTAGATTTCTTTGAAATATGTACAGAGCACAGTAAGTAAGTGAATGGATGTCATTCAATGTGTTTATCAAAATTTTTTTTATCATTAATTATCTTCTTATATATTGATTGGTATACTGCATTGTGTGATTTTTCTGTTGATAATGAGATGGCATAACAGAGAACAGATGTACCCTTCTGCCTGAAACAATCAAGGGGTAGAAACAAAACATGAAAGAAGAATGGATGACAGGACACTGAGCCTCAAGCAACAAAAATCCACCATCCTGAGAGATGGGTAACTAATGAAGTACAGCCTATGATTGCTCAGCTTACTGTCCTGAGTGAGTTTCCTGGCCGTGGCTCAGGGAATAAGTGATATGGAACCTAGTGGACCCTCTGAGCTGAGGAAAAAGAGGTAAAAGTCTGGGAAGACTGACGTTGCTGTAGTTTGCAGTACAGCGTATTGAAAAGGAGAGCATTGCAGAGAGAAAACAAAAGAGCTCTGTGGAAGAGTCCTCTTGAGTATTAACTGAGTGCTGATCAGCACATGCATGTGGGTAAACTATCCACTTCAGGGAAAAGACATTGAAAAATTGGAGGATGAGCTCCTGGCATACTCACAGGGCCAGGAAGAGTGCTGTTTCCATGGAAAACCTCCTTGTTGCTAGGACGTCGGGTAGCCAGTTAGTAGGGAAGAGTGAACATTGGATACAGTTGGACATTGGGTAGAGTGAATTTGCCTTAGTAGAGGATACAATTAGCCCTAAACACTGGTCCTACCTAGACCTAGCAAATCTGAAAAGTAAAAGCTGAAAGATGAAACAGTTTCCAAGTAAATTTATTCCAGAATAAAGTTCAGGAATATTTACAGAAATTTGAACTATTTTCATCCAGAAAGGTTTTTTAAAATCACAGTATCTGGCATCCAATCAAGAATGTCTAAGCAGGAAAATATAACCCAATAAAGATAAAATTCAATCAAATCTACCCCAGATGTTAGCATTAGCAGTTGAAGACATTGACAGTCATTAAAACTGTCAGCTTCAAATTCTATACTCAATAAAAGTAATTTTTAAAAATAAAAGCCAAATTAAGATTTTTAAGACATACAAAAGCTGAAGATTTATTTCATTACCTTCATATACACTCAAAAAGAAATGTTAAAGTAAATTCTTTAGGTAGAAGGCAATTGTATTTGATGGAAATACGGATCCACACAAATGAATGTTGACAGTGGGTATGCTGATTACATGGATAAATATATAAATTTTAAAGTTAATCATTTAAAGAGATTTTTAACTATTTAAATGAAAGTAACAATTGCCTTAAGGGGTTTATAATATCTGTAAAATAAAATGCATGAAAATAGCAGGAAATTAAATATGGAAGAAAAGAGAGGTACACTAGTATAAGTATAGCAGTAAACGATCAGTTGATGGTACATTACTAAGTTAAAGAGATATACCATAAATGCTAAAGGTAAGACGATAAAATGGGATTATTAAAAATTGATACAATGCAAAACTGAAAAAAGAGAAAAGGGAAGAAAGAACAGAAAAAACAAATAGAAAACAATTAGTACTATGAGAGATTTAAACCTAACTATATATGTATATATAACCTTATTAAATGTAAATGTTCCTAGTTAATATACTGAATTTTAAGAATTATCAAGTTGAATAAGAAAATGAAAGGCAACTATATACTGTTGACAAGAAACACAATTCAAAAATATAAAGACACAAATAGGTTAAAAGTAAAAGAAGAGGAAAAAGATATAGCATACTAATCAAAAGAAAGCAAGAGTGACTATATTAATATTTGACAAACTAAATTGCAGATCAAACTTATTACCAAGGATAAAAAGATCATTTTATAATTACAAAGAGATCAAATCATTAAAATGACAATCATATTTATTATGACTGACCTTCAAAATACATGAAGCAAAAACTGATAAAACTGCAAGGCAAAGAGGGCGCGCGTGTGCGAACACACACACACACACACACACACTCAGTCAGGGATCTCAGAACTGTGCCACAACACTTGATAGAACAGCAGAGAGAAAATCAGTGAGGATAGAGGTTTGAATTACACTATAATTTGACTTAACCTGATTATTTATAAAACACTCCACTGAACAATGGTAGACAGAGTATTTGTCAAATAGTCCATATTCAGAGACATAAATCAGTTTTCAACATATTTAATATAATTTAAGTAATACAAAGTATGTTTTCTCCAACCACAATGGAATTAAATTATAAATCAAATACAGAGGCACTCTTGGAAATACCCAAATAGTTAGAAACTAGCTAACATACTACCCACATAATACATGGGTCAAAGAAGAAATTGTAAAAGAAATTAGTAAGTATTGTGTGCTTAATAGAAATAAAAATGGAATATAAAATGTGTGGGATGCCATTAAAGTGGTAGTGAGAAATTTAAAGCACTAAATGCCTACATTTAAAGCACTAAATAGCATACATTCTTTAAAAAAAAGCTAGACAAAGGAGAGCAAATTACATGCACATTAAGGAGAAGAAAGGAAATAAAGGTCAGACTGAAAATCAGTGAAAGAAGACAGAAAAACAAAGAAAGTCAAAGCAAACAAAAGCTCTGTTTTTAGATCAATAAAATTGATTTCACTTATCAGAAAAAATAAAACAAGATTTTATTTATTTTAATTTCAGAAATGAAGACTATGAAAGTACTATAATTGCTATAGGTATTAAAAAGACAATAGGAAATATTATGCACAATTTCATGCCAATGAATTTGACAACTTAGATGAAATGGACAAATAGTTTGAAAAACACAATTTACCAAATGTATCCATGAGAAGAGAAATAACATAAATATTTCAATATCTACAAAATAGACTGAATTTGCAGTTAAGTACCTTATATAAAGAAACCACTGTTTCTTTAACAAAGATACCAAGTCAGTTGAGTGAGAAAGGATAATTTTTTTAAAAAAAAATGGATAACAACTGGATGACTATGTACATAAATAAATGAATAAATAAAAAGTCACTATTAAAATAATGAAAAGATGAGGTCCAAAATAAAGTTAAATAATAAGACAGCCCCAGCCAGTGTGGCTTAGTTGGTTGAGCATTGTCCCGTGCATGGAAAGGTTGCTGGTTGGATTCCTGGTCTGGGCATAAGCCCAGGTTGCAGGTTCAGTCCCCCAGTCAGAATGCATATGAAGTAATTGATCCATGTTTCTCTCTCATGTCCATGTTTCCCTTTCTCCCTCTGCCTTCCTCTTTCTCTAAAAGCAATTTTAAAAAAACATAAAAAAGGGAAAAAAATAAAGAAACAAACAGCACATCCCCTGTAGGAGATGTGTAGGAGGCAGCTGATCCATGTTTCTCGCTCACTGATGTTTCTAACTCTCTATCTCTCTCCCTTTCTCTCTGTAAAAAAATCAATAAAATATATTTTAAAAAAATAAATAAATAAAATAAAAATGAAAAGTGGGCAAAAGATTCTAGCAGACATTTCACCAAAGAAGATATATGGCTAGTAACTAAGCACATGAAAAGATGCTTGGCATCATTAATTGTCAGGCATATGCAAATTAAAGACACAATCACATCCAATTAAAATTCAAAAACAAATGGCCATACCAAGTATTGGTGAAGATGTGGAAAAAACAAGAATTCTTATACACCCGACCAGGAATGAGTTTCTATACATACCTAGTGGGCATGATAACTTCGGCAGTTTACTAAAATATTCAAGATACACCTATGGTCTGCTGGGTGTTTACTCAGGAGAAATGGAAGTGTAAGTCCATACAAAGGCTGGTCATGAACATTCACAGCAACTTTATTTGTAATCAGCAAGACCTGGAAACAAATCAAATGCCTATTAACAGATGACTCCTGACATATATTACAAAATGAGTGAATTTTTTTAAAGATTATGCTGAGTCAAAGACACCAGAGAAAAAAAATTACATACAGGATGATTCCATTTAGATGAAATACAAATGCATCTGTAATAACAGGAAGTAGACCAGTGGTTACCTGGGAAGGAGAACTGGAAAAGGAAGAATAAAAGGGTGAGGTGGGGATAAAGGAGCTTCTCTTGAAGTCCCATTTTGTGATCTCTGTAATCTCTCTGTAATCCCTTAGCTGCAATCATTGCCTTTCAGAATTTAAAAATCATGTCCTCTTACCAAACAAGAGGGGATAATTGGATAGGTAACCAGTAGTCTCTGGCCACAGAGAAATAATTATCCCGATTGAAAACTGAGTTTCAAAGAAATAAATGAACCAAATCAACATTGTCACCCAGCCATTGGCGAGTTTTACCTGAGGAAACTCAGTGAGCACATGGACAACCGCTGTTGGAGCTTGAGCCTGGTGGGGACTGAGGTTGGAGGCAGCATATGAGCATATCTGTCATTGAGGTCGCCAGGGGTTCCACAAGGGAGGGCAAAAGTAGGCTAACAATAGTAATAATAAGTAATACAATAATAAATGAATATGTAAATAATAGATAAGAGTAAACTCTGTTTGGGGTACTCACAATTGTAAACCTACTTGTGCTCACTCTTGTAAAAGTCAACTAGAATTGAAAATTTGAGCAAAGAAGACCCCCAAAGCCAGTGAGTGCAAAGAATATGGACCTGAAAGGGGCTGCCTGGGAATGGGATGTGAAGGGAGAACTATAACCTGTTTGGGTATCTTTCCCCAAAATAGCCCATGAGCACACATCTGAGCCACATGTCGTAAAGGGAGTTGGCAAAAGATGAAGGGAATTCTGTAAATGCTAAGCTGGCTGGCCCCCCTCAACATAGAGCAGGAAATGGCTATCTACAGGCGTTCTGAAACCGTTTGCTGTGAGCTCCGTGAGACCTTCAAGGATGTCCAAGGTTTGCAGCTTACAGGGAGATGTGCTCTTGCCAAGGGAGGACATTAGCACTGTCACCACAACCATCAGAAATGTGGGCCCCTTGAAAAGATGCTTGAGGCTGTAGTGACTCCACCATGTGCTCCAAGGAGGCCACCAGGAGTGGGCATGTTTATAGGAAACCTTCTATACCTAAAGCCTACCTGTACGTTGAAAAAAAAAATGGTAAAAGGTATTTCTGGGCCCAGGAGAGGAAATACAAAATGAAGCATCATTCTTGTAAAAAAAAATAATAATGTAAGCCTACTGGCCTGCTGGAGTGGAACGTAAGGCTGCATTGGAAGCTTAGTTCAATGGGCCAGTCAGCCCTATGCTAATCCAGGGCTTGCCTGCTACCGGGGATGCTCCTCACATGCGAGGCTGGGAACGCCCAGGCTTACAGTGTGATACCTGCATGTGCTTAAGTCTACGTTTATCTTACACCCTGAGCTCCGTACTCCTAAATAAACTTTTATGGACATGGTATAATCTCACCACACTACAATTGTTCTGGTATGTGCCATCTTTCAACTAGTAAGTGCTCTAAATAATAAAGTTTTGTTGATACTCTTTGCACTCCTGTTCTCCTTCACATATTTTCATCCCATCCACCAGTCCTCTTTGGTGCTAGTGATTAAAAAAGAAAAAAAAAATGCTGCCAATAAATCTGGTAATCTATGAAACATTGGAGGCATGCTTTTTTAAAATCAGTGGTGAATTAGTAACAATTTGCTAATGAAGATTTTCTTTTAATTATTGGGGAAAAGATACTTCTTAATTAATAGAAAAGAGGATGGGTTTCATCCAGATTAATTACTGTTGGGAACGTGTCTCAGCCCTACTAGGCACAAGCTACTGAAAGTGAACAGATTAGCCACAAAGTTAAGCAGCTTGGGGTTTCGTCCTAATGAGGTGGAACATGGTAATTAAGTCGGGGTTTCTGGGTGATGATCTTCAGGGGGCCCAGGAACTCATAATGTTTGATACAGTATTTTTCATATGTTCTTAGCTTCTTCATAGTGTACATGATAGACACGTATAAGCAATAGTCTCTGGGGTCACCATCATCCCAGGCTCCACAACACATACCTGCTTTCACTCCCTGGTGATGTAGTAATCACGCATCATGAAGTTCAGAACCCTTTGCCAAGGGAGCGAAACCCCGAGACTGCCACACTAACTCTCTCTTTTCATTTCATATTACAGAATGCCCATGTGTTTCCATCACTTCCTCCTTTTCATTAGTCTTCAGCAACTCATGATCCATACTTTCTAGCTGCTCACCTTGGCCTCCACTTCCTTCCCTTTCTCACAAGGTCTTCCACTGGAATTGTGCAATTTAACAAATATCCAATAGTCTCTTTATCAGCCATTTTAGTGTTTGCTACACACACACACCACTTTCTGATCCCTGACTGTCCACTGTTGACACAGCTTCTCAAGAAAAGATGGTTTTTAGATTCCGCATGTACCTCCTGGTCTGAAAGTAGATTTGGTATCTGCCCTGCCCTTCTGATATTACCCTTCAGGTCTTGAAAAAATATTATCCTTTGAGATATGATATACCACAATTAATCCTATCCTGATTATTGTTCTTTACAGAATTTTCACATCCCATCTTTTAATTAAAATACTAGAGGCCCGATGCACAAAAATTCATGCAAGAGTAGGCCTTTCTTCCCTCAGCTGCTGGCACCGGTTCCCTCTGGCACCTGGGACCTGGGCTGACTTCCCTCTGGCCCCAGCTTCATCAGGAAGGATGTCCGGAATGACATCTGGAAGACGTCCAGTCTAAATAGCATATTACCCTTTTATTATTACAGTTTGCATTACTTCAGTCCTAGATCATGACTTTTGCAGCCTCATCTCCAATAATTTTTCTTTTGCTCCATCATATCTACCCACTTCCATGTCCACACCTTGGCGATAATCATCACCTCTATGCTAATTCCATTGTTCTGCTTTCAAAACCCTGATCTACTTTTATCAACCTCATAAGCATCTCTACTCCCTTAATCCTTCTCTTTGTATACCCACTAAGTCAACAGCCCTAATATTTTCATTTATTTCCTTATCCAGCTTTGATTCCTTGGCCTATCCATACAAAAATGTCAGTGCATCGCCTCATCTGTAGTATAATGAGCTTTTCTGAGTCCTCATCTCAAAAATATTTTACCTCAGTGAATCCACCGTCTTTGTGGTGACTTTCTTCTCCTCTGGGCACCCAGCCCATTGCACTCCACTAGCTTTCCTCCAACCCTGGCTGCTTCTTTGCGGTCTCTTCTCAGCCATTAAATGTTAGAGTTCTCCCACTTACTCTCTCAGTCCCTTTCATTTGTTCTTTCAACGCTCTTC